AATAAATAATAATAAATAATAAGGATTAATCTATAACTAACTTATTATTTATATCTCTTATTTATTTTTTTTCATATTAATATAAATAAATTATAGAATAAAGAAGAATAATAATTGATTAAAATAATAAACTATTAAGTTCTAGAGAATTATTTAAAAATAAAAATAAAAACAACATATTAGTTTTTATTCGTAAGTAACGAAATTATAAATACAATAAATTATATTAACACTATAACTTTGCTGTAAAACAGAAGGGAAAGAAGTTATTTTTGGTTCTTATAATGAATCCAATCAAATTCACCATCAAACTGAATATTTTCTCTTTTGGCAATAGACCAAAATAATTTTCTCATTGCAAGATAATCAGGTTCTTCTTCAAATTTAAGACTTCTGCTTATTGAAAGAAATTTCTCAAATTCAGGAGGTAGTCCTTGACATAACTCATTGTTCATGGATGATTGTTTTTTCAATAATATTTTCATGTATTTATCTTTTTTAGTAGTTCCTTTTATTCCTTGCCAAGGAAGATTTCCTTTCATAAAATAAATAAACATATATGCCAAACTCTCCATATCATCTCTTCTTGATTGTTCTCTTCCAAGATGATTATTAATTGATGCATAACGAACAGTTCCAACAAGATTTTTATCTTCATTGTATTCGATATGTTTTTTTGTTCTTCCATCTCGATATTTTTTTGCTAGTCCAAAGTCAATTGTATATACAGTATTTGATCTTTCATTTCTTCCCATGACAAAATTATCTGGTTTGATGTCTCTATGAATGAAATCTTTTGAATGAATAAATTGAATTCTCTTAATGCATTGATCTATTAACATTAATGTTGTCTTTAATGTGAATTTTCTTCCGCAAAAATTAAATAAGTCTTCTAATGATGGTCCTAATAAATCCATTACCATGACATTATAACTTCCATATAATCCCCAATATATTACTGATGGGATGCCAAGAGTAGATTGACCTTGGTTAAGGTATTGATACAATTTATATTCATAATTCAGTTGAGAACGGGCAATGTCTTGTCTTTCCATTTTAACAGCAACCAATTCATTTGGTTCTGATTTGTTCAAAGCTAAATAAACATCTCCAAATGACCCACTCCCAATTTTTTTAACAAGAAGATACTTGTTAGCAATTTTATTTTCCCCCATCAGAAATAGTCAAATGGTTTCAAGTTCAGATTAACTTACCAAGCACTAATGATACTTTTTTGTTTGACATTTTAATCGATTCAAATTTTCTTCTTTTTTAGTTTTGATACTATCTTACTGGATTTTTTCGGGAGTTCCTTTTGTTTATGAGGGGTGAGATGTACTGTTTCTATTTTTAAAGCAATCGATGAATTTTTTTTAATTTAAGAAAATAATTACCTCATCAATTTATTTTGTGTTATATATTACATAAATAATATTTATGTAATATATAACACAAAATAAAATATATTAAAAAAATAATAAAAGTATAGAAAAAGAAGTACCCTACTTTTTTTAAAAAGAACTAAAAATATTGGGAGTAAAAAGAAGAGTTATGGTTTGTTTCTCGGTTATTATTGTGATGAGAATATAAAATTAATATAATCAAATGAAAAGACATTTGTATTTATACAATTGTAGGTATTCAGTAGATTTGTTGAAGTTGGTCGTGTAGTTTTAATGAAAACAGGCCCATTTGCCAGTAAGCTCGCTGTTATTGTTGAAATTCTTGATCATAACAGAATTCTTGTTGACGGACCACAAGCCATTACTGGAGTTCCAAGACAAGTTGTTAATTTGAACACAATCTCTCTTACCTCCTTTGTTGTAAACAAAGTCACTAGAGGTATGACTCATAAGAAACTTTGTCTCAGATTTACTCAAGACGCTATTATTAAAAGATTTAATAAAACTGCTACAGGTAAAGCTATTGAAAAGAGAATTCTTAGAGAAAAGATGACTGATTTTGACAAATTCCAAGTCAGTATTATTAACAGAAAGATTAATGCTGCTGCTAAAATTGCTGTTGCCAGAAAAGCTCATTAAACGAATGATTAGTAGCAAATTTTATTTATAAAAAATCATAACATAGGATAAAAGAAACAACAAATGATAAAATAAAAATTTTAGAATAATTGGAGAATAATAATTCTATCCGTAGTAAATGGTTTATTATTCTTGAGACTTGCTAGTACAAGGTCTTTTTCTGATATTTCGTATGTTGAAGAAATATTCATAATTTTAGATGTGTTTTCTCCAATAGTATTTATTTCATATCCTCCAGTTGTATTTACTTTATATAAAAAGTCACTTTCAATTCCACCTAATGTAAATACATGTTGCCAATTTTCTCCTTTTGGATAGTATTGTTTAATTGTATCTGGTTGATTTAATTTAACTGTGAAAATAAAATGTCTAGGATCAGACATACATTTATTTGTAGATTCAATTGGTTTTCTTATGAAACATCCAATAGTGTCATTTCCACAACAAGCCATAATACATAAATAAGATAAGTTAATAACGTATTTACTAAAGTCTTTTATTGAATATTCATCTTCTTTACTATCAAAAATAATTTTAGAGTTATCACAGTTACACCACTTCTGTAATATTTTTTGATTTACTTTTATCATTTCAGTGAATTGGTCAATTAGCTCTTTTGGTCTATCAGTAACAACAGTACGTGTATTTGATCTATGGAGTCTCATTTGAATCAACTTAGAAAACTCTTCATCAGATGTTCCTTCTTCTCCATTACTATTATTTGGTACATTTTTTATTTCAATATTTTCACCTTGTATTTGGTCATTATTTATCATTTCAGTAGTTAACTCTTTAGTTTTTAATTCATCAATACTTTCAGTTTTTGAATCTGATTGAGATGAAGAAACTAAATCATTTAATGTTGTATCTTTTTTGTTTACTTTTTCTGTTGGTTGTGAATCTTCTATTTTTTGAGAATATGTATTTGATTTTTCAATCATACTTTTTCTATTGTTTCGGTCTTTGTCTTTTTTGTCTTTAAACATAAAACTTCTTCTTTTTAATTTTATACTATCCTCATCATCTTCTGCTCCACTTGTAAGAGTATCAAGAGTATTTGGCATTTCAGAGGGGATAACAATTTCTTCATTAATATTTTTATGTTTCTCAGGAAAATGATAATGAAATTTCTTACTTTCCCAATTTGGTTGTTCCTCGTCTTTATATTTCTTTAAGTTAGTTGCTAATGTTGAGAGATCTCCATTAGCTGTTTTTTCTATCGAAAGTATTTCTTTATTAATAGTTTCATTAATTAATTGATTTCCAGCAACGCAAATCTCATCAATATTATCATATTCTAAATCAATAACTTCTTTTAAAGATTTTAACATTCGTTCCATTTTTTCAATAATTTTTTTTCCTTCCATTAAGTCATCTTCTCTTTTTTGGATGATTTTTTTAATTTGTTCTAGTTTTTCTTCACAGATATTTTTTATTTCCTTTTGATTTCCTATTAAATACTTTTTAGAAAATGGTTCTAAATTCTGTTTTGTAAATTTAACAACCATCTTAGCATTTTCTGCAGCAGCACACATATCATCTGCTCTTGATACTAATGTTATAAACGTTTGGTTTTTGTTTATAGTAAGCATTATTGAACTAATTATTTTTTAAGTTTTTATCTTTTAAGTTCTAATGAGATTTTCTATCTTTAAGTGATGGAATTTTGACTCACATATCTTTTTTTTAATTTTTTTAGACTCTTTTTAATGTTGTAGTCTCGCTTCATCTCCCTCATACCTCCGCAAAAATAACGTATCATCTTCTTTAAAAAAAAATAGTAAATTTGCATAATCAAATTTACTCAAAATGGATAATATAAATGCTTTCAAATTAACACATTTCCAATAATAGATTTATTATTGAATGACAAAGCTTTTATTAAAAAATATAAAACCAAGAATCTCCTCCCCAACCAATTTCAATTCTTTCTTTATTTTTCCTTTTTCTGAAAACCAAGAAAAGAAATTATTGAGTAAATTAATTCTGAGATTGGAGTATGATGATATTTTTAATACTGAATTTACTAAAATTTCTTCCAATGAAAGAATCACTTTTAAGATTTTTATATGATGACCCAATATCCAACACTTCACTAGCCTCTATATCAGGATAACCAATTACAAGACAACCTTTATAATTTACCCTTAAAAGAATTGGACTTGAATTGAGAGGGACATTAAGGATATACTTTGATCGTTTTGCAGTAGGGAACCATCGAGTTGGAATATTTGATAAAGAAGTTTGAAGTGTAAAAATGAAGTGATGGTCATCAGATAAATATTTATCAAATGAAGATATAGAAGAACCGAAATAAAATCCAAAAAGATCAGACTGTGTTTGGAATATAAAGAATAATGATGATTTATTTGTTATTAAATGAGTAAATTCATTTTTATTAAAGGCACGTTGAGAAGAGTCATAAATAATGTTTAATGATTGAGCTTGGTTCCATTGTTTTAATGTTTCATAATACATTTCTATTCCTTTTAGTTTTGGAGTTGTAATAATAATAGAAATTTCTGATGCCATTGACCTTGATCTTCTTCTGGGTTTTAGTTTTGATGAAGAGTTTAAAATATCGGTGGATTGTTTTAAAGTTTTTCCTTTATATTTTTCTTCAATTTCAATACCATTCTTACTTTCTGCTGTACGTGCCGTTTGTGGTTGTTCAATAATATCAGCAGTAAGATGGTTCATATCTAATTTTTTAATAGAAGAAATCATTTCAGGATTTATTTTTCTTTTAGTAGGATGAATTTCTAATGGAAATTTAAATGCACCAAAATTTGTTGAACTATATTGATGGTTTTTTTTTAATTTTTTTGAACTTTGTTGTTGAGACGTAGATGGTTGAAAATGTGTCATAATTAATTCAACATCTTGATTAAATTTTGTTTTTGAAGTCAAAAGATAACGGTCATTTAATTTACAAATTTCGTGTAATGATTTTTTTATTGTCTTAATTACTTCAAGTAATTGTTTTAGGTCTTTTAAAGCAATTTCATCCAATACTATTTTTTCTTTTCGTTCATTTAATTCTTTTTGAAAATAATTTTCATCTTTTTCATGTTCATTTATGTGAATTCTAATATAACTTTGATCACTAATTTCATTTTCTAATTGTTTTGTATCTTCACAAAAATTTTCTAAATTTTCTTTAAACGTTTTATAATTCTCACATTCAACAAATTCTTGCATTTAATTAACAAATGAGACTATTCTTTGAATAATAATGAAGTTCTCAATAGTTTTCATCTTTTTCTTTTTTATAATATTCGTTCTATTTTTTATTTTCTTCTTTTAATTTAAAACGCCTGTTTATCTAAAAATAAACTTTATTTTCATTGTTTTATTTTTTAATTTTAAAAAATTTAAACTTTTCACACTTTTTATGTTTAGATAATTTTTGGTGAATTTACCATCAATTCAACTACTTGAATTTGTTTCAATAGAATAAAGAGAATAGAAATATAATTTTTATTTTTTTGCTAAGTTTTTAATTAAAAAGGTGTATAATTTTTAATAAATACAAAAGAAATTTAAAATATAAAAGAATCAAATACTTTTATTCAAATAAATGGCAACTACCAAGGAAGTTGTTTCTCCAGTTAAACACAACTCACGTCAGTTTAATTTAATTCTTCAAGAGAAACAGGAACAGTTATATTCCGAAATATTTGAAGGGAAAAATGTTATTGAACTTAATGTAAATAATATGATTTTTTATTTACCTAGAATGAATGACTGTGTTGGTATTATGGGAATAATATTAGATAAGAACAGAGATAGTATTAATAAAGGAAAACCAATTAAAGTTACATTAGACCAAACTCTGGTTCCTGCTTTTCAAAAATATCTTTGTTTTATTGATGACAAACGGTCATTTATTCCAGAATATGATATAAAAGAATCTGTTGAATATATTTCTGATTTATGTAGATTTGGTACTCCTATTCAGTTAGCTTTAAATCATGTAGTTCCAGAGTCTTTGAATGACAGAAAAAAGAGAGAGGTTTTATTAGAAGTCTTAATCAAAGGAATGACTTCAGCATTATTAAACTCAATTATGTTATTCAATGAAAAGAAAGAATGCAAAAATTTATTTATTCCAGTATTATTAAAGTTACAAGATGATAGTTCAATAATTAATAAATTAAAACTTTGGCTTGAAATGTCTATTGTAAGACCTAGACATTGTACAATTGCATTTACTGGAGGTATTAATCTTAATTCTCAAACAGAAAAAAAATCTGTTTCTTTAGGTTCAGATATAAAAAGTTCAAAGTTGAATTGTAATAATAACACTAATAATTGCAGTGCTTGTGATATAATTTCTCATGAAAATTTAACAAATAATAAGTCAAAGACTAATTGTATGCATAAATCTGAAGTTTTATTCAAGAAAGAATATAAATACACTGATAAACAAATGTTTGGATTATTAGTATTACAATCCATTATTAGAGGATATAAGACAAGAAAGTTATATAATATTCATGATATAATTCAAAGAAAACAATGCATTATTGAATTACTTCAAACTGAACAAAATTTACATAATAACATGAAACTTATGAATAAATACTTCCTTCAACCAATGAGTATGAAACAAAAAGATAAATTATTTAAAAAGAAAGTATCAAGCATATTCTTAACATTAACGCGTTGTATCAGTTCTTCTTCAATTTTTATCGAAAAGCTAAGTAATATAGTTGAACACTATAAAGTAGATAGTTGTGTTGGTAATTCATTACAAATGCTTCTTCCATACATTGCCCCATATTTAAATTTCACAACAGATTACCAAATCTCACTTTCTACTTGGAAAGATTTAAAGAGAACAAGTGATGTTCAAGAAATTCTTCGTTCAAATTTAGGGGTTAAAGAATTAGAAAATCAAACACTCGAATTTTTACTCATCCAACCTGTTCAACGAGTAATGAGATACCCGATGTTAATAAAAGAAATTATTAAATTAACAAATAAAAATCATCCTGACTATCAACCTTTAAAAGAAGCATTCAGAGAATTTCATTGTTTTAGTAAAATTGCAAATGAACGTTCTAAAATGAGAGATTCTTTACAACAAGTTGCAAAAGAACTTGGAGATGATGAACTACTTGTTGATAATCGATATCATTTATGGACAAGTGAAGTTGTTTCTAAAATAGAAAGTAAGGTGTATTTATTTAACGATATGGTGATGATATGTACCAAGCAAAAAAATGGAAAATGGTGTATTTCAGAAACAATGCAAATTGGAGGAGATGTTGAAATTACAGTTATAGATAAAATAGTAACTGTAAAAAAATTTAGATATACAAAACCATTAATATTTGAATTAGAAAATAAAGAATTAGGACTAAAGTTTAAAAGTCAAATAGAAGAAATAATTCGTGATGATTGGTTTAATTTAAATGATGAACGAAGTTGGATCGATTTGGTTGATAGAAAAATTAAAGAATCTTCAGACTAGTAACTTTTAGTTCATTTTCCTTTTAACTTTTTGTATGATTCACTGATGAAAAAATAATTTTTATGAAGTTTATCAATAATTATTATTTTCTCATTTACTTTCTATAGAAGTATATCTCTTCTTTTTCAGTTATTCATTTATTCTTTCATAAATCCTCATTTATTTAATAGTCATTTCTCTATTGCCTTTTCTTTTTTTATCATTACTTATATTTGTTTTGAATAAATTAATCTTCATAAATCTGTTGACTAATTCTTTCTTTCATTCTAATCAAATATTTCATTGTTATTTATTTTATTTATTATTAATTCAATCTTATGAGAATATTCATGATATTATTTGATTTTTTTCTATTCTTTCTTCATTTTTTTATAAATTCTCTTCTTTTTACTTTAATTTTTTATTTCATTTTACTATTATAGTATAGCATATTATTCTTTCTTCGTTTTGAGTTTTTTTTTATTCTTTTATTTTGTTTCTTTTTTCTCTCTTTCAAATCATGTATTTATTTATTCTTTTAAATAATTATTAATGTCATCATTTCTTTTATAATTTCTTCTATAAATAAAATATTATAACAA